TTTATTCAGCAGGGAGCAGATGAGTTCAGCAGTGGTGAAAATAATACTTTAACTTGTTAATTTGCAGAAAATCAATAAGTGCTTACAGATACCCAAACAAACAAAAAGCAAGAACATAAGAATGCAAATAGATGATCCGCTGCTGAACCTCTAAAGGCATTCACTTTATCCACAAATAAGTGACATAAATAATGAACAAAATATTTCATAAACAACCCTCCGTTTATGGCTTACACAAGATCCAAGTGTAAATCTTGATTGTCTCCGCTGGGTGGCAGTAGTGGGATAGGTCTTTGTGTTGGTCACCGTTGGTTATTGCTCGCCTGCCAAAAAGCACCAAAACACTGACTTCTCACCACAACATGGTCCGCAGGAGTAGCGTCGATGCTTTTAAAACGTGTCGCTGATAGCTGCAAGCAGTTCCCCGAGGTGTACCATCATTTTGTTATTACATAATGAAGAATTACTCTCAAGAATGACTGATTCTTTTAGGGTCTGCAGCAACCAACGATTGCGCATCTGGATTTGGCCGAGCCGCTACCACTAGCTAGCGGACAGGCTAGCAGAGCAGAATGCTGTAGCGCTCTCCTCTGCAGTGAATCCAATTTAGTATCGACTGGATAGCCAGCTGTCAGTTTGCAGCCCTCACTAGTTAGCTCGTGCAGTAACTGACGTTTAAAGGCCTGCCGAAAATGTAAACCACCATGCGAACAAAGAGACGGGAAATGGTAAGTGTTATTTTGTATCCAGACCAACTGATGAGCTCAGATTAACTGTATTCCGTTTGCTACCTTAGCTTAGCTACCCTTTCGTTAGCTTTGTTGTGATAGCCTGCAGAGACCCTTGCTGCTAATTGTCGTAGGTTCATCCTTTGGCTAGTTTTTTGTAAGAAACCCAGATAATAAAAGTTAAACTGTGTTGTGTGCTATTCTAATGTAACACTGCAGATGTGGATTATCGTCGTTTCACCTTGACGTTTGTGTGGTATGATTTCTGGAGTCGTAATGTTTACGAGCTACTTCCCTGTACACGTTAGCAACATCAGCATAAGAATTTTTGCAGGAGCTTTTCTTGAGTCTGGCAATTTGTAGTAATCCTTGTAATCTGATCATTAAGCCTGATTGGTTGTTGCTGCAGGGTTAATGGCATTGCAGTTGACATATGACTCATAGCGCTTTAAATTGGACCCTTTCAGTGGCATAACAGTGCTCAGCGAGACCTGAGAACAACTAGGGGGACTTTGATGTCCATAAGGCGTTCCCTTGTATCCAGATCGGATCGTTCAGTTGTTATATGTGATCGATAAACGAACCTTAAGAGATTGGTCTTCATATGTGCTGCAAATGTTCAAGGTTTGTTATTAGGACACCAACACCAACCGATTCCCACCTTGCTCTTTCCCTTTCCATCTTTCAGGCAGTGCCAGTGATGGCCTCCCCCCTCCCTGTCTCCTTCACACTGGTGGTTCTCCTGTTGGCCAAATCGCCTTTGTGCCAGGCAGGGGACTGCAAGGGCCACAGGCAGGTTTTGAGGGGACCACCTGGCTATGTGACAGATGGAGCAGGAAACTACTCTGTCAATGGGAATTGCGAGTGGCTCATCAAAGGTGGAGAAAATGTTTTTTGTCATTATTTTTTGTTGTTTTCTGTGATTATTCAAAGTGATATTTATCGAATTCTTCATATTTTCCAGCTCCCAACAACAGTCACCGCATTGTCTTGAATTTCACCTTCATGAACACAGAGTGCACTTATGACTACCTTTTTGTGTATGATGGGGACTCCTACCAAAGCCCCCTGCTAGCCAGTCTGAGTGGCCACACGTTGCCCCAGCCCGTTGAAGCAAAGTCTGGCAAGGTAACCAAGAAAAGATACCACAGCTGAAAGGCCAGGATGATTCTTGAAACTTCATTAACATTGAATTCTAACTTAATTTGTGTTCACTCTTAAACTGTGTTCCAGATGCTGCTTCACCTCTTCAGTGACGCTAATTACAACCTACTGGGTTTCAATGCAACTTACACCTTCTCTTTGTGCCCTGGAGCGTGTGGCGGTCATGGTCGTTGTGATTCCTCTACATCAAAGTGCCATTGTCATCAGGGTTGGGGTGGGCCCTCATGTACAACCCCTCTGTGCACTCAAGCTTGTTCTGTGAACGGCCAGTGTGACAAGGTAAGAGTAGGGATAGGGACGATTAAATGAACACACACAAAAAATATATACTATAGTCGCACAGTAACGCGTTTCTCAACCTGATTAGGTTATTCATTTGTGTGCCGTGATGAAACTTTTCATATTTGCTTTCATTCATTTTTCAGAAAGGAGAGCGTTGTCTGTGTAAGCCAGGCTTTGTGGGTCAAAACTGCCAGCTTGGTCTCTATAATGACAGCGGTGCAGGGAAGTGGTGGCGTGTGAGTGAAGAAAACCCCTACACACCTCCCAGGACAGGTTCTGCAGGCGTGTACCTCTCCTCCACAGGAGCCATGTACCTGTTTGGCGGTAAGAGCAACACACAGTTAAATTCCACTGATACAATTTTTCTGTTTAGAAAACAAAATTTTTAACACACAAGACAACGGCAAGGTTTTTGACTTTGATTCTTTGGTATATGTTAATAATCATAACTCAACACAATTTGTTGCTGTGTTACATATTAACCATCAGTGATGTTGATGTCTTTGTTAGAGCTGAATGCCAATGTCTGAGTCATCAGTCTCATATCTCATTATTGGCTTGTTTGAATTATATTTTGCTTATCTTCTTTGCAGGATTTGATCTGAACAGAGCTCTTGGTGACTTGATCAAATACAATTTTACATCCAACCAATGGGAAAGCAGGTCTTATGGTCATTCACCTGTAAGTGAACATACACTCAAACATGTGCTGTTTTTCTTTCCTTCTGCTATTGCATTTGCTTTGTCATTCTCTATGCAAACAAGTGTCCAAGTTACTGTCAGCACTTTACAATAAATTGATCCTCAAAATGTCATGTAGGCAAGAAATGTAGTTTCCTTAATCAGGAGAATGGATTCAAAGATATGACAATTTTTTTTTTCACAACTCATTCAATGCAGTTCATTCTTAACAATTAAAAAAAAAATGCTGCTCTCTGGTTACTGTCCATAGTTACTGTCCAAACATATGACCTAATCTCACCATAGCACAACTGTTTGACTAGTTTTTGACAGTTAGCAGTTATCAAGGACACAGACAGCTCCAGACACCATGGATGGTCCTGTCTCTAAGTGCGCCTGAAGGGCACATGGTAGCTAGTGCTCTGTGATGCAGTGTTTTCATAGATGCATTAATCCAGTCACAAAAGACTGGCAGACATGCAGACATCTGCACAGATCCTTAAGGTCACCATCTAGTGTTAATATTTCCATCACTTGAATTTAAGTAGATCCTAGCATACTTGTGGATATCAAAACTTTTAACATGCTTTTCTTGCTTTCTTTCTTTCATTCATTCATTCATTCATTTATTTATTTATTTATTTATTTATTTATTTATTTATTTATTTATTTATTTTCAGTGCTGATTGACCATATTTATTTAATGCCACTTTGTGGTGATAGAGTATTATATTCTACTGATTGCTTGTTAAAAACAAGGGTAAATCGATAAAGTCAAGAATATTTGCTTATTTTTTTGTAAATAATGTTGTAACTGTTTAAGAATTTATTTTTTAATTTATCGAACCTGTTTA